AATAATACAGAAAATGTAGACCGTGGGAGGGAGAAAATAAACTAAAATGTAAGATTTTGTATGCTTAAAGTTTCAGCTAAGATATGATGAAAGGAATCCTAACAGGATTATAGCTTCACTTACGCATGAGACAGCGCCTGTTCTTTGCACTCTCTGATGTCGTTGATGCGTTTGTTATACCTGTCGAAAAGCAAAACGAAGGAATCAAAAATTTTCCTTCTCCTTTTGTCGCTGCAAGAGTTTGAAACTTTGGAAATATTTGTCACGTGGCGGCGATCCTACCCTCTGATGTTGACGAACAGGTCTTCTGCGGCCTTGTGGATGTGGAAGACTTCGTCCCTAAACAGACAGAGGCAGGTGGAGCTTTGCAGGGCCAGTTTCCATAGAGACAGGGCGGCTGCGTCGCTGTTCAGCGCGGCGTGGCACAGGATAAAGCCGACTGCAGGGAGAACAGAGAGGGAGGTTGAGTTACTTGGACTTTTAATTGGCTGTGTTTGCCCCTCTCCCCTGTTTTAGGCAAACACCAGTGGTGATCAAACGTCATTTGATTTGGTTTTTCCATTTCCAGAAGCTGTGTGCTAAGAAATTGAGAGAAATTATCCCAAGATCTCAAACAAAAATTGATCTAAGGTTATTGGTAAAGACATTCTGACCAGACATGCAACGATTAGAGATTTGCCACTGGATTCTTATCTTAGATTTTAGATTTTTGTGTGGCTTTGAGCAGCCAATTTCCATTTCTCTGTCAGAATTAGTTCAAAACTTCCAGTTCAAAACTTTTTTATTTCCTGAGTTGCTGCTGTAAGGTCATTCTGTTTACATTTTTCTTGAAAAAGTATGGTTAATCCGGTGGGTGACCAAGCTAAGCATGCTAGTTGTTAACCTCTCTAATGCAAACCCCAACCTAGTCAAGCTAATGGACAGCAGAAGGAGTAGGATTTACCAGCTTAAAAATGCTAACCACTAGCCTCTCCAATGCTAACGCAACAGAGTAGTCTTCTTCTCATTTGCCAGTGCCAGCAGCTCAGTTACTGGTGAAAGGCCAACAATAATCATCAGATCAGTAGCCAGTTTCAAAATAGATAGTTACCTGCAATAATCACATAAACATCTCTGGGTGCACACTAGTGTTAATTTTGGCCCCAATAACAGTCTATAGTACCTTACACTAGCAAGTAACATGATAACCACTGTTGCTACTAAACATCAGTCTCTGTGTATATCAGGGGTGAAAGTAGTTTTAAATCCTTGGGGGTACTATGACAAAAGTATATATATATTTCTTTGTGTGCTTTGGAGTTTCTGTGCTGATTAATTTTTTAATTAGCTCTTGAATTGCTACAATATAAAGCTGTATCTCCTTCAGTCTACTGGCTGCAATGTTGACACCTTGAGAAGCCATGAGGCCTAAACTCTGAACATCATGGCATGTAGTCATCCCAGTTTTCCATGTCTGGCATATAACCATTCATTGTAGCTTTTAAACTGGTTC